TTGGACACCGAGAGGTGGGAGATGTCCCATCCCTGGCAGTGTTCAAGGCCAGGTTTGGGGCTTGGAGCAACCTGGAAGGAACTGGATGAGCTTGAAGCTCCCTTCCAACCCGTGCCAGGAGATAGGAATGTGGTTCCACTTGGATACAGAAGCCATGGCAGATCCCTCTTGAGCCAGGAGACCAAAGTCTCTTGTAGGACTTGGTCGCAGTGTAGACCCCCCCCCCCAAAACCTATGGAATTAGGTGGCTCTCCTCATCCTAACCACCACTTTCTTCTCCTTCTCAGCTCTCAACTTGCACGATACAACGCACCTGAGACTAGTTCTTGGCTCTCAAGTTGCAGAAGACCTCAGAGAAGCCCTCAACTCCAAGCTGGGCCTCACCAGCTGTGCAGGGGTGGCCTCCAACAAGTTACTGGCCAAACTGGTATCTGGGACCTTCAAACCAAACCAACAAACCCTTCTCCTGCCCGAAAGCTCTCAGGAGCTCTTGAGAAGCCTGGGTCACATCCAGAAGGTGCCAGGTAGGTGCTGGGAGCAGAGAAGGAGATGATGGACACCACAAGTCCTCTGGTAGGTGAAAGCCATTCTCCATGTCCTTATCCCTACAGGCATTGGCTACAAGACCACCAAGCGGCTTGAGACGTTGGGTGTGAAGACCGTGGTTGACCTCCAAAGGTTCCCATCTGCTGTGTTGGAGAAGGAATTGGGTGTTGCCCTTGCTCAGCGTATCCAAAAGCTCAGCTATGGAGAAGATGAAGCCCCTGTGACACCATCAGGACCTCCTCAGGTAGGAGTGTGGCTCTGGAGGACGTTCTAAAGAGGAAGAAGGTCACCTTGGGGGTCCTGCGTTGTTGCTGGCCCACTTAAAGGGGCATTTTGGTCCCCTGAGTGCCTTGTTGGCCTAAACTTCACTGGAGCTCCAGGTGTCCAAGGTGTCTCATTGTCCATTCTACATCTTGATGCTTCTGTTCCTCTTGAGGATCTTCAGTAGAAACCACACGATGGGATTTGTTCTGTTCTCAGTCCTTTAGTGATGAAGATTCCTTCAAGAAGTGTTCCTCAGAAGTGGAAGTCCAGGAGAAGCTGGAAGAGCTGCTTCCAAGCCTGTTGGACAGGTGACTATCTCCAGTAGCTCTTTCTGATGGTGGGGACCTGAAGGTCAATGTTAAGTTTGGCTCTTGACCATAGAATGGGTTGCAAGGGAGCTTCAAGCTCATCCACCTCCTTCCAGGGCCACCATCCACTAGAGTAGGTTGCTCCAACCTGGCCCAGCTTCTCTGGGTGACCTTCATCTCCGTTGAAGGCTCTTGGAGTCAATGTTCTCATCATCTCATCACTCCTGGCTGAGGAAGGGACCCAGCAGGCCCCAAAGTTCTCCATGGAGTAAAGCCAGAACTTGGGAGAGAACTGCTGAAGGACCTGGGATGGGGTTGGGGTTTAGGCTGGAGATGAGGACCTCAGTGCCAGCTCAGTGCTGGTTGGACTGGATGGTCTTGAAGGTCTTCTCCAGGCTGGTTGATTCCATGAGTCATTTGTAAGCTCAGTGCTGCGAGAGCTTCCAGAGAGCCTCTCCAAACTACCTGTAGTAGCGCTTACTACTCGGTGTACATTCGTGCTCCCCAGGATACACAAGGATGGAAGACAACCCCGCACCATCAGGTTGACCATACGCCGCTTCTCCTCCGCGGAGAGGTGGTTCCATCGGGAATGCCGTCAGTGTCCTATCCCACCTCATCTCATTCCCAAATTTGGGAAAGGTAAGCTTAGAACGGGTCAACTTTGTGCTACTACAACCCAACTCCTCCCTTCAAATTCCTTTACGTCAGGGCATGGCATTCCCAACTCTTCAACACTTGGGAATCTTCTCCATGACTTGGGATGGGTTCATCCCAAGAAGAAAGGGAGATCGTTGGGAGCTCTTCCCTATGAGGGTGGTGGGACACTGGAATGGGTTGAAAGGAGAAGCTCCAGCCCCTGCTCGTCCTCGTGGCCTCCTCTGGCTTTGCTCCAGCAGCTCCGTGTCCTCCTGATGTTGAGGCCACCAGAACTGGCTGCAGGATCCATGTGGGATCTCACCAGAGCAGTGGGATGGAATCACCTCCTTGGACCTCTTGGACTCTGACTGAGGTGGACAGAGAAGACGTTGAGAACATGACGCTAGAACGTTGCCTTTGTCCTTTCCTACTCGAATCCCTCTTCTTCCATCAGTGAGTTGGGATTTGCTCCCTGTTTCCCAACCTTTTTCTCCCCCCCCCACCAATTTTGCTCGAATCCCTCTTCTTCCATCAGTGAGTTGGGATTTTCTCCCTGTTTCCCAACCTTTTTCCCCCCCCCCCCCTCTTTTAGATACCAGGAGCATCATCTCCCCCTTGGTCACCATCTTAATGAAGCTCTTCCGGAAGATGGTCAATGTGAAGCTCCCTTTTCACCTCACCCTTCTCAACATCTGCTTCTCCAACCTCCAGGAGCTTCCTACCACCAAGAAGGGCTCTATTGGTTTCTACCTCAAGAGCGTGGTCCCACCACCAGCTCCTGAGGAGCAGGTACGTTGGGGGAGGTGGGATGGAGCAGAAGGAGAAGGACTTGGGGGTGGGGGGTGAGGAGAAGCTGCCCATGACCTGGTTGGGTCTCCTGTGCTACAAGCGAGTTGGCCTTGGTCAGCCTGGAGAAGGCTCCATGGAGACCTTAGAGAGCTTTGCTGTTAGTAAAGTAGTAGTTGGGCACGAGTAGGTTACACCCGACGGACACGTGCTTTCATCTTTGCCGTAGGGAGCTGAAGATGTCCCACCAGGTGAGGGAAGTGCTGCTTGTGGCCAGAGCTTCCGCAGGAGCGATGGAATTCCCGACACAAGGAAGCTTTCGGAGGGGAAGGAGAACAGCGGAAGGAAAGGCGGAATTCCCGACTTCCCAGCTCCCTCTTTTCCTGGTGCCATTGACCAAGAAGTCTTCCGAGAGCTTCCAGAAGACATCCAACAAGAACTTCTTGCTGCCCAGGCAGAATTCCATGCTGGGAATGGTTTGGCTCGGCCATCCTTGCTTTTTCCCAAAGAGACACACAGCCCTTCCCCAAATCCCGAGGGATTAAGCAGCGCTGCTCGCTCTGAAGGGTGTAGTAGAGGTGTAGCATCAACCCAGGGCCCTGTAGTTGCTTTGGGCCACAGCTCTGAGGCCACTTGCTCTTCTGAGCATCCCCGAAGGGCCGGGATGAGCCTGGAGAAAGAAGCTCCGGAAGTCGGGATCAGCCAAACTGTCTCCAACTGGGAAGAGGAGGCCCTTGACACACCACCTCCGGCTCCGACTCGGAGTAGAGATGGAGTAATCCCTCCTCACGTGGACGCAGAGACCTTTTATGAGCTACCTCCGGATGTGCAGCGAGACCTGGTGGCTGAATGGAAGAGTCAGGAGCGTGGATCCAAACCTCTGGAAAAGCCCTTGGAAAAGCCGAAGGGAAGGAAAGGGAGGAGCAAGGCGGCTCCGTGTGGATCCAACAGCTTGTGGAGATACTTCAACCCCCAGTGAAAGGGGGTAGGAACGAGAGGAGCAGCACTTGGAGGCGCTTGACGTGTGTTTCCTTCCATGTGTTACTTACTCTTGGCTTACTCGGTGTTGTAAGTCACTCCCTGTAGAGCTAAAAGCTGCTGGTGGCCCTGTTGAAGTAGGGGTTGGTCTTCTTCTCCAGCCTCATCTTCAATGGCCCCTTGTCCCCTCCCTGCATCCCGTGTCCAAAGGCCTTCTCCAGGTTTCCTGGAGCCTGTCTTCAGAGTATCTTCGTAGTACAAAGAGTGTGTGTAAGGAGTGAGAATGTAAAGAGTAGAGCCTACTATCGGTGACGGCAAACGGAGGTCACCTTGGTCTACATCACCTCAATCCTTGCTGCTGAACACTGAACCCACCACTCCAGGGGTGGAAGGACAGATGGAAGCCCTACTCCAGAGATGCTCAGCCTTAGTAGCTCAGTATCCTCCGTTACACCGGCCTCAGGTGCCCGGAAGAGGACGGTACAACGGGTACATAAAGGGAGAGCACGTCTACAACGGTGAGTAGGAATCATCTCCCAAGTATGAAGCGATGGGAAGATGCAATAGCTTGAAGAGAACAACCTGGAGTAGGGGAACTCCAGGAGCTTGAAGGTCCCTTCCAACCCGAAGTATCCCATTTCCAGAGCTTGGCAAACCCATCTCCTCTATCCCAGCCTTACTACTACTACCCCCGTGTTACTACAGGCCAGGACCTCTGCAACTCAAAGCCTAAACTTAACACAGGACAGCGCGTAGTGAACTACTCCTTGTAGTTACGCACGACGAGGAGAGTTAAAGCAGCACCTACTTACACATCCCCTACGTCTACCTTGGAAGCCTTGGAGGAAAGTGGGAGATGTTTCTCCAAGGTGGAAACAAAGAGAAGGGAGAAGTTGAGTTTCCACCTCAGAGGAGCTGCCACCGGATTTGCTCCAGTTACACCCTTGTAGTAAACCTCGAGTTACTACGAGTCACCTCATAACCACTAGTAGTTACTCTAGTTCTTTGCGGCCACTTGGAGCACGCTCCGTCTTGGAGTATCTGGCTTGTAGGAGCACCTCGTCCTCGCCATTTGTCGCTCTGGGTGCTGTGGGTGCTGTGGGTGCTC